ACGATTCATCCCACAACTGAATCCAGTGATTATTGGAATCTTGAGCCAAAATTTGAATTACGCTTCCAGGATTACATATTTCGTAAATACAGACTCTGATTGGATATACAGCTTCATGAAACTCGATATCTTTAAATAGGAAATATTACTATATTTACTCTCTTCTCAGCAAAAACGTATCTTCCTTAACAATATCTTATTTATCGATTGAAATATTACATACCAATATATCTTTTTTCGCTCGTCCTATCATCATCGCTTGGTATGAGCCCATCAATGGGTCTCATGAAATCTTTGTTTTGCCACGGAGATATTGAAACACCAGTACCATCCTTTATCCTCTATATTAGAAAATCAAAATTGTCAAATAGTAGAAAATCTTGTAACATAAATATATAGCGATTACTTTGTACAGGACTATATAACAGAGGTAGTACCAGAAAATACACGTACTTCCATATCACAAAAGGGGATTGGTAAATGAAATGGTTGTCCGTAATTTTGAAATTTGGGTGGTCCAATTATGTCAGGGGCAGTATGGAATATGCTAAGACTCCTGTGGTCCACGGCAACAAATCTTTTCTTCACAAATTGATAAATGAAGTCAACACTATCCTCTTCTCCTACGGATACTCTGCCGACATAGGGATATTGACTACAACTCTCGCAATATAAAGATTTATTGTGGGTTGTCATATTGTCTCTCTAAAAAAAGACAAAAAATATGAAGAATAATAATAATCCTTTCTTTTTTAGCATGTGCTAAAATGCATTATAATATCATATATATTTATAATTATAGCATTAAGATTTGCGACGCTTTTTTCCCCGGTCTCGCTATCCGGAGAAGGGCTATCGAGGATTATGTTCCCCGACGCGACTCCACTAGACAAACCTGGGCGCCAGGCGCGGACAACCGCGCCACCGAACACGATACTTTAATATTTCCTGGCACAATATCTCAGGACGTGGCTTTGAACCGGAGGGAATTCGGAGAAAGGGCGACGCAATTAATCACACATATAAGTAATATGACAAAATAAAGAATATATTTGCAATCATTCGAGAATATTAAATAATGAGTCAGGTATAACTAAGTGACGAATATACGGGAAGCAAATGAACACGTCGATACGATACTTAATAATTAGCGCCGCGGAAAGGGCGGACGCCGGGACTCACGCTAGTGCACCGACGAACGTACGATCGCCTCGAGATAACGCGATTCGGCAATAACGACGTAAATGGCACGCAGCCGCTCGACAAATGTTCCTCGTGACTCTAACTCGACGATTCTGCACGGATCAAATAGGTAACGCGACTCAGTTCATGCACGGTAACGTAGTTCGCATGACTGAGGTAACAGAACGAATGCAATGGAACGAATACTTTACAACGGTAATAATCGCCACTTAACACAACGCAGAACGGGCAATTCACGACGCAAGGTAACGCGGTACCTCGCAACAAACACACTTAACGCCACGCAGCAACCCGCACTTTACACAACGAATTGACAACGACACTCGGGGCCTCACGATCCCATCCACGCGAAATCCGGCACGTCTCGCGGACGATCCCGCGGTCGACCACGCGAATCCCGCCTCCTACGAAGCCCGGCGATTCCGCGGCGCCACGCCGATCCCGACCATTATCGCCAGCACTAAAGTTCTCGGTCTCGACGACCCGAGTGCGTGTCCTCACAATGACGGGGCCGAGCGCCCTACAAAATACTTGACCGCTCGACTCCCGCCTCCATCCCACGACTCGCGATGTCCCCGACGCGATCTCTCTCACGCCACGCACGACGCGACCGTCATCCGGACACGCGTTTCCTCAACGCGAATATTCTCGCCGCACGACTGTCGGCCGTGGCGAGGATCCCGGGGAGGGCCTCCACGGTCTCTACTTACTGGAAGGCGTGCTCTTGGCGGGGCCCCGGCTCGGATCTCGACCGATTCTCTCTACCCGGGGAACGTCCGATCGGATGGCACTCGGCGACAGGCGCTTCTCACTAGGCGCTACAATCCCGGGGCCGGCGCCGCCTCGATCACTCCTCCAAATTAACGAGGAGACGCCAGGGTGGTGACCTTACAATTCTGAAGATCACTAGCTTCCGGGTTGTCCAGGCCGGGTGACTCGGAGATGCGCTCCCTACGCCGCGTGGCACGACAGTGAATCATGGCGGGGTCGTCGGGCCGGTCGGGGTCGGGCCCGTGACGCCGCGCCGGCTCCCCGCGCCTGCGCCTTAGCTCGCTGGCCGCGCGCCCTTCATTCCGGATGTCGTTCCCGATAGCCAGCGCCGTCTTCTCGTGTGGCGCTGCTCGACTTTCTTCGCCTCGGCGCGGCCTCTTCGAAACAATCTGGCTGTCCGGGCCACGATTAGGGTGCATCCCGATGGAGAAGGAATAGCGGAACGGAACAGGGGACCTATTATGGAGTTCGGAATGGATTCCGATCGGAATTGTTCAGTTATTTCCTAGATTTCTATTGTCTTTTCTAGGGAAAACGGAATAATTCCGATCGGAATCCATTCCGAACAAGTCCAGAATAGGTCCCCAGTAACGGAAAAGAGACATGATGGGGGTTAACCAATCAGAGTAGTTCCGTTTCAATTCCGTTCCGTGTTATAATGAGTGGTTTCCCCATGGCACGGAGCTGTTACGGAACGGAAAAGAAACGGAAAAATTTGTAACCTACTATCCTGTCGAAAGTTTGCGAATAAGTGCTTGGCAGTGGATCGATCGCTTTGCAACATATTTTTGCAAATAAAGAGCAATATGTCGTCATTGGTAGATAATATATGTGAAAATAAGCTTTCCTTCAGATTTACCGAAAATAAAATATATATGTTAAAATTCTATGTTAATATGTTAATGCGTTATATGTTATATGTTAATATAAAATTATACTGAAGAAAGAAGACATTGTCAAGGAGACAGCAACAATTTAATTAATGAAATGGCAAATAATGATTCCTTAATTTTATATTAACATATAATATATAACATATAACATATAATGCATTAACGCGTTAAATGTTAAAATCCTATGTTAATATGTTAATGCTAATTAACCGAATGTAATATATTTTATTAATTACAGAAATTCAAAAATGTGGATATTGTGGCTGGATTGTTTGGTTTTATAAAAACGGACTTTCACATCCTTTTTGCTTAGCAAATCATACAGAATTAATAATGGATAAAGATCGAAATCTCGAAAGCAAATAAGCGATCGATCCACTGCCAAGCACTTATTTAATAATTTTATTATATGTTAATATTAAATTAAGGAATCATTATTTGCCATTTCATTAATTAAATTGTTGCTGTCTTCTTGACGATATCTTCTTTCTTCAGTAATTTTATATTAACATATAACATATAACGCATTAACATTTTAACATAGGATTTTAACATATATATTTTATTTTCACATATAATACCTACCAATGACGACATATTGCTCTTTATTTGCAAAAATATGTTGTAAAGCGATCGATCCACTGCCAAGCACTTATTCGCAAACATTCGACAGGATAGATTACAAATTTTTCCGTTTCTTTTCCGTTCCGTAACAGCTCCGTGCCATGGGGAACCCACGACCTTACTAAACGCTTCAATCGCTTTTATTCCAACCATAGACGTTGATTCCAACGCTTTCATAGGACCGGTCAATGAATACTATTGAAGTTACAAACGCTAACCGAGGGATACGGTCAAAGTGGCGCTACAAACGCTCCTAAAGTTAACTGTTGGAATAACAATACTACATTGCAATAGACTAATAATAAATAGAAAATGGATAGAAGAAAGAAGATAATAATATTAATGTGCGTTAATGAATTTTTCAAACCACTTTCATACTTAGATGACGAAGATGAAGATCTTGTAATAGAAAGTCCTACAAAAAGTCAAAATCGAAAAGTAGAAGGTTATGTCGAGCACATAATACCATCGTTCAGCAGTGAACATTTTAAATCGCATTTTCGGTATTAATATTATTATTATATCTAATTTGTTTTGTTTATATACTATCAAATAAAATACTTAAATTCTAAAATGTTTACATATAATGATACTTTAAAATTGAATGTTACTAGTATTCGACCTTCAACATTTGAGTATATTTTAAATGAAATTGGAGAAAGGCTTCATGGCCCAAGTAATGGAATTGAAATAGTATCACCAGAAAAGCAGCTCTTAGTAGCTCTATGGCGTTTTGCGACACCAGATTCATATAGGTGAGTATATATTTATTTTTATAGTTATTGCCATTGAATGTTAATATTATATATATAACAATATTCTTTCCTTTTTCAGATCAATAATTCAAAGGTTTAATATTAGTAAAGGTACAGGAATAACAGCTGTACGCCGTGTTGCTAAAGCACTATGTGAACTCTCACAAAGATACATATTATTGTGGCCTAATGAAGATGACTTTGAGGATGTTGTTTATGGCTTTTCTCGTGCACGTGGTTTTCCTGGTACTATAGGGGCCATAAATGGTACGCATATAAATATTCCTGCACCAAAAGAAAGTCCAGAAGCATATATAAATTGAAAGGGTCGTCATTTGATGCAACTCCAGGTAATGTTCTAATACTTTTATTTATACTAATTATTTATGGGTGCTTTCTATGTATACTGACACAAGTCTACACAAGTATCGTTCTGCCTTTGTTACTCATCATAGGAGCTTTCCATCTAGCGACACAAATCGACACAAGTATTATTCTGTCTTTATTACTCATTGAATATTGAAGAAAGAATGATACTTGGGTCGACTTGTGTTGCTAGTTGAAAAGCTCTCTACATGTAAAAACGGAATAACGTTTGTGTCGACTTGTGTCACTAAATAGAAGCACTCTATCTTGTGCTTGCTTTCACATTAGAACTACGTTTGTCTTATTTTCAATATCGCCATTCCGTTAAACATTAAATTTTACTTCATCAAGGTTAAGAGCAGTTTGATACTATCAAGCACAGTATCAGGTTTCTCTTAACTGTAATGAAATTAACTAAAACGTTGGTATCACGAAACGTTGGTATGAAAGTGACACACATGCAACTCCAACTTAGAAATCATGCACAAGAATTTGTACAATCGAATTACGAATGTATTAATAAGTATCATATATGTATTAATTGTATTATTTGCTCAGAAATTATCATGTCATATTTGTTGAAGGATATTATTACATTTATGTAAATTAACAATACGTATATGAAGATTTATATATTCTGTTTAGGCCGTTTGTGATCATAGAATGCGATTTACACATATCTATGTTGGCAATGTGGGTTCAGTTCATGACTCCAGGGTTTTTCGGTTATCAGCTTTACAGCAATATATCAACAATCCAACTAAATTTCCAAATGATACACATTTAATTGGAGATGCTGCTTATGCTTTACATGAACATCTCTTAGTTCCTTATCTTAATAATGGCCATCTTACACAGCAACAAAAAAATTATAATTTTTGCCATTCTTCTATTAGAATGGTAATAGAAAGAGCATTTGGTTATTTAAAAGGACGCTGGAGAAGTCTACTACATGTATTGGCAGTCAATGATATAAAGTTTGCTCCTTACCATATATTGGCATGCTGTGTGCTGCACAATATTTGTTTACTTCAGAACGATGAATTGGAGTTGGAAGATCGACTTATTCTAGCCAGAGAACAAGCACAAGTACAAGAAGAAGTTATTGAATGTAATAGAAATGCTGCAATAATAAAAAGAAATAACATATGTGCAAATTTGAATAGACACATATAAACAAAATATATAAAAATAAGTTCATATAGTATATTAAGCATATAGTATATTAAGCACAGAGAGAGAGAGAGAGAGAGAGAGAGAGAGAGAGAGAGAGAGAGAGA